ATGTTCAGTTACAAGATGCAACTCAGCTGTATTTGACACACAGTGGTTCCCCCCCCCCATGGCTACCTTTATGTAGACTCATTTCTCCACTGTCTTAAAAGTATTAACAATGGGCCAGGGATTTAGCTGTGTTTCCAGTGCCTGCCTCGCAAGTGTAAGGACTCAAGTTTGATCCCTGTACCAAAAAAACCCCCCAAAAAACAGTATTAACAAGGGCTTTTTGAAAGTGTTTCACTAAAGCTAAATATGATAGAAATAGTATAGTGAACATTAAAATTCAAAATAAATAAAAAATAATAAATCTAAAAAGTGAACAAGAACTCTTCATAATAGGTAAATGTGATTTTTTTTTTTTTTTTGTACCAGGGATCGAACTCATGACCTTGCACTTAAAAAACAAGCAGTAGAACCACTAAGCTAAATCCCTGGCCAAAAGGTGATAATTTTATAAAAACAAGTGAAGATGAACAACATCAATAGAAGTGTGAAAATAGATATCTACAAAGTAGCAATCCAGCTATTCTTTTCCAGTTATCTTCTAAGAAAATTTGTCAAGGTTTAGCATGAAATTAATGAGGTATTCATTTCAATTTCTAGCAAAACACTGGCAAGCGAATTGAATTTTGCATTACTAGAACCAAATAGTGTAACACAAAGTTAAATAATTATTTTGTAAAGCCATAAAAAATCCTTAATTATAGATATTTCCTCAGTGTCACACACTTATTTATGAAAATATGTAATTCTCACTCTTGTCAAAAGGTATGTGAAAACTGCTGTGAAGTTCCTAGATACATGCTTAAAGAAAAAGCAAAACAAGCCTCTGGCAAAATTACACTGTCAGGTGACTTGCTTGACATTGTGTAATGTTAACAGCATTCACAGTGAAAAAGGAACTACTGGATGGCTCATTACACACCTCCTGATTCTTTTTGAAGAAACTGCAAAGGAAAGTGAACAAGCAGCAGCCAGAACGTTCAACTTCAATTGTACTGTGTAAAGACACTGACTTAATTCAATCAGGCTACTTCCACAAAACACTTCTATTAAAGTTGCCATCCACCTTGCCAATTCTAATGATTAATTTCCCATGTTATTCTCTTAATGGTATTTGAGTATTTATTATAATACTAAGGATTAAACCCAGGGCCTTTGCCCTGAGCTATGTCTCTAGTGCTTTTTAAAAATTTTTTGTTTTGAGACAGGGTCTCACTAATTTGCCAAGCTGTCTATGCTGAGTCCATACTTGGGATCCTCTTGCCTTGGCCTTCCAGGGTGCTGGGATTACATGCATGTGTCACCATACCTGGCTTTATTCCTTTGAAACACTTCCTTCTCTAAGCTTTCCTGAAACCTCAAGCCATTCCCCTCCATTTCTGGCTTCTCCTTCTCAATCTCTATATAATCAATCTCTCTCAATCTCTGTATTCCTTCTAAATACTGAGATTCTGTACAGTAGGGTCTCAGGTGCTCCCCACTACCTGGTAGTACTTGGGATTGGACCTAGGGCCTTCGCACGGATCTACATACAAGCTTTCTAATTTTTTTAACTCCTTTTTCAAAAAGGTCTCTAAATTACTAAATTGTCCAGACTGGGCTTAAACTTTCCACCCTCCTGCCTCAGCCTCCGAAGTGCTGCAATTATAGGCATGCATCTATGTAGCTAGCCTCTTGCTTTTCTCTTTTTTAAAATCTATAATCCTTTCCTACACAGTCTCAACCAGTCTCATGGTTATATGGTTAACTGCTAGACATTCTCAAATGTATGGCTATATCCCCATTTTCTTCCCTGAACTCTGGACTCACATACCAATTGCCTTTTGACTTTTCCATTTGGATAATGAAAACGTTTCTCAAATTTAACGTACCATAAAGATACCTTCCCCTAAAACTTTGTTCCTTTTGCATTCTCACCATCTTGTTGATGGCCTCACCGTCCATCCTTTTGCTTTAAGCCCCAAACCCATGGTACATTGCAGCTGACCTTCCTGATTTGTTCTTTGTTTTACTCTATGTTCTCCATAGAAAAAGTACTGCATAGTGTCCAAAGCAACTGTCCATTATTTATATTTTTAAATTTATAAAATATGCATACAGAATAGGATATAAAATACTGTTATAAACTACATATCCATGTGTATGTGCACACAGATACAGAAACAGGACACAATATGCAAAAGAATGATGTCGGATCCTCTACCTCATACAGTCTTGGGTGGAGCTTTTGCAGAGGTGGCTGGATCTAGAGTGTGCAATTATACATGGTGCAATGCTAGGATTAAGGGTGCTAGAATTAAGGGTGGGTGATTGCTGGATCAGTCCACTGACTGGCTGGGAATGCCCTAAGGCCGGTAGTCTGGATACAATATAAGGGACAGTAAGAGGCTTGTTTTCCCTTGATGCTTTTGCTTCCATTAACTGTTTCTCCTCTGCAATGCCCTTCTGCCATGTGCTGCTTTGCTTTGGAGCCAGCCAACTATGGAATGAAACCTCTATGAAATATAAGCCAAATAAATCTTTCCCTCTTTAACCTGCGTCAGGTATTTTGTCCCAACAATGAGGAAGCAACTAAGACATTATGGAATTTAGGATATTTTCAATTAACTGTGCTATAATCTTATGTAACATCATCACGTATCCCATCATCTTAATCTTTCTCTCACTTAGATGCAAGTCACCAGCTCTGATCTCACTCAAGGAGAGACGATCACATAAGGGTGTGGATGCCAGGAGGCAGGGATCTCAGGCCACCTGAAGCCTGCCACCTTTGCATGCAGAAATACCAGTGTGTTTGGTTAAGACTCAGACCTTGTATTTCATAATAGCTGCTGTGTGTACTGCCTAAGATTTTGAGCTCTGAGATATATCTGTCCTCGTGGGTTTTGGATAAAGTTCTGTTGTTGCGGAAGGAATTGGTAAATGACACACACGCAGAGATGCAGAAGGTAAAATTTAAAAAGTTTACTTTGCTCACAAAGGATCAGTCTGCACCAAAAGCTGTTTCAAAGGACCAACCCCGGACTGGGTGACACTGTGCCTTTTGTAAGAGTTCTACAATCATGACCTCATTTTAGGCGATAAGACATTATAGTTCCCATCAAAAACCATGGTCACAAGACAGTACAATGTTAACCCAAATGTAGCATTTTCTTTCAGAATGTTTATCTTTCCATTTCAGCCCACAAGAGTGGGGGGGCCAGAGTTAAAAAAGCAGTACTGGTGACATTCCTTTTACCTTATCATTTTTACATCCATATAGTTTATAGCAAGTTTTATAGCTCAAGGACTATTTTTTTTTCAGGGACTATTAACTTGAATGTTTGGTCTCATTCTGGGATGCAGCTTAGCACCTCAGGCATCTGTTAATTTTAAATTGGGGCTATGTGCCTTTAAGCCTCAAAAGTGAAACCTCAGGTGTTTTTCTTAAGCAAAGCAAAGCAAATTACAGAAGCAAAATGCAGCAGTTGTTTTATATATTTTTTTAAATATTCTGTAGGGTTCAGACTATTTATAGAAGTTTTCTCTATCACTGTATCATCATCCCCATTTTACAAGTAAGAAAAAAATCTGAATTACTAAGCAGTCATGTCATTCACTCTAGGAAAAAATAAAGGTTCAGATATGAAGTCAGAGGCCAGCCTCGTGGTTCTGAGCTCTGGAAGCCCACAATGCTAAGACTCCATGTGTGATCACTGCTGTGACACTACCAAGAATTGAAGGCAGGGAGCTGGGGTGCAGCACACACACATGCCCATGCTACTTTCTTCCACACTATTGTCCTTTCTGTCCCTGAAGGCCTTCAACCTTGTAAGGGGGCTGGTGATCATGGGGGCCACCATCCCTGTTGTGATTTCCTCGATACATCTCTTCCATTCTTCACACTGCAGCCCAACTAATATCAGTCCTCTTCCTCAAGTCTTCAGTGTTCCATTTCATTTGAAAAACATTCAAATTCAGACCTTGGTCATCGAGGTTTTACCTGACTTGGCACATGTCTTGTCCAATCTTATCTCTTCCTACTCCCTACTCCATTCAGCCTCACTGACCTCCTGTCCTTCAAATAACATTTGTTTGCTGAGACTGGGTCTTGCCCTGTAGTCAAGACTGGTCTTGAACTTGCTATGTAGTAGCCCAGCCTGACACGAACTCAAAATTCTCCTGTCTCAATCTCAGAATGCTCTGATAATAGGTATATGTACCACACTCTGCCACAAAGCACATTTTTTTGTTTCTGGGTATTTTTCTCCTGTCTCCAGATTTTTGCATGGCTGTCTCCTTAGTAACCTTTCAATCTGAGTAAAAATGTTATAGCCTCAAGAGATGTCTTTCCTGACCACCCAGTAAAGTGCTCTCTCTCTTCTTCTGGCCAGTCTTATCTCCACATACTATTGGTTTTTGTTTTTTCCATCTCTCTTGCTGGAATGTAAGTAGGAAGATATACGTACTTGTTTACTGCTAAATACGACTGGACACAAAGTAGAAACTGAGTATCTGTTTGACTGAATGAAAGTAATTAATGGGATTTTAGAGTCCACCTAACAGAAATAAAAGGTATTTTCCATTGCAAAAGACCAATAATTTTATGAGTTATGAATTACATGTTAAAAATAAAATTAACAAGTGAATCTAGCCCCCAAAAAGAAAATGATTGAAACTCTCAGCATCTTGGTGAAAAACTAAAAGTATCTCTTACTATTTTGAAATTAAAATAATGTACGAATCCATTGACGAGCTAGCACCTTCCTTTGGGAGACACTTCATATTGAAATCACAGCTCTCTCTTGGCAGTAGAAGAGTTAAGGCCTTCTTGCTTTTCCTAGCCTTAGTGTATTGAACCACCTCTGCCCATTCCACCTTTTTTTTTTTTTTTTTTTTTTTTTTT